TGAGGAATCATAAAAGGAAGCGGGTTGCGGAGGCGGGGGTGGGGCAGAGTGCGTCGAAGAGGATTTGTGGATTGAATGGTCGGGATACTATTATACGGCACTCGCTGCTCGATATGCAGGCTGATGATACGTGGGTGGGTCACCACCGACGCCTTGCCCCTACGGTGAAGATGGAGACTGTATAGTGTCGTCCTATTTTTTCATTTGCTCGACCTTATCTGTCAACAACCTTTCAAGTAGCTAGGCCCCGATGATTCAGCTTGTACTATTAGACTTCCGTGTGTACTCAATCCTATTTTTCTGGCTCTTTGATTCAGTCGACCGAGTTCAGACTCGACCCGTCAACTTTGGGGCTAAACTCAGACTTGGACCCTGTCAAACCTCTCCGGTGAGGCAGTCCAGTCTGAAAGCACCGGGCTGCTGATTTACGAGCGATGTAAGTATCGAGCTACACTCAAAGTTTTAATGATGGTGGAGCTTCGGCTCGAGGCTCGGCAAACATCCACCGCAGTGATTTACCGAGCCGGCCGAGACGGATTGCGCCCTTTATATAATTAGTCCGCCCTGTAGGTAGCAGCACGCTGTCGCTCTGCTACTATTCTCTCTTGAGAACTGCGTTACATCGCCAAGCGCAGGCTTGACAATGCGGAATTGGTGCGGCAATCCCCGCGGCACACACCGGCATCGAAGCGACATCGCCGTTGCTAATGATTCAGGTGGAGGCTGAAAATCTGCTCGAGAATCTGAGACTGCACGATCGTTCTTCACGTTCAGCTTCAACCTCAGGTCGATGCTAGTCCTTTCTAAACAGACGCTACAACAGAAAAACTCGTACCTCGTTATGTTGTAGGTCGATGCCAAGGAGACATCAATGACGGCAAAGCCAACACGTCGGGAATCCTCCCCACACTGTCGTCTTGGCCTCGTCGTCAGCGGTACCGCACATTTATTACGCCCACGAGCATGGGAAGAAGTAGATGGCAACACATTCGACTTCAGTGGATGGACGGCCAGCGGCCAATGAAGCCAAGGGATTGGCAGCGATCTGCGCTATTCCAACGTCCACGCATTCACAGACGGATGTACTGAAAACGAATTGTCTGTAAGTTCATTGGATATTACTTGCTCTGGGCTTTTTCGGAGATCAAGTCTGTCCATGGAACGCGGGATACCCCTGGCCTAAAGTTCAGACTGTCAGGCTGGTTAGCCGATGCCGAGCTGCTGCTATATAAATCTCTGTTCAATTCGACATTGCACCTGAGTCTCCCCCCCTCTACTATCCGGAAAATGCGCTTCTTCGCCCTCGCCCTCCCGCTCGCATCCGTAGTCTGTGCGAGCAAGCTCGACGCAAGACAGGCATTGACGAACACCAATGCCCAAATTATGCCGGTTGTGGACAGTCTCGACGTGACTATGCGTCATTCCGGACCTGCTATCTGTGTGTTTGCCCCCTCATCATCGAGATTTTTGAAGCGAGAAATTGAACACTATGCAGTGACGTTGCAAGCGCAACACAAGTTTAGCGACATCACCGTTGGAGAGCAGATGCTCGCTTTGGGCGCAGCATTCCTCAAGGCGGATGTCGGCCTGGCCAAGATCCCAGCCAGCAGTGGCTCAACGACTATCTCGCCGACGAACGACGATATTAGTATCAGATATTCCGATGTCATGCAGTGGGTGACTTACTTTATTGATGAGTGTTCAGACACTCATTTTCGTCGACTAGGCTCGTCTCAACCAGCCTGTCAGGAGTCTTCGGGACTGGCGCCGTTCCTCACTTCGCCGACATGGTCGCGGCCCTCGACCCCGTCATCGCCCGCACGTCGTTGCAGCTCAACGTGACGTCCCCGGGGTCCCTGATCCTCGTCCACCGAATGTATGTTGCCTGTCAATCTTGACGTCGTAGTATGCCACGGTTAACGAACGGTCTCTGTTCAGGATGCTTGACGCATCACAATTCTTTGTTGCAGAGGGTTTCAACAAGACATTGACGGCGCTTGGGTTCTGATGTTTGACCGTCCTCTATCCCATGAGTTCTGTATTATTCTGTGGGTTTTATGGCTTTGACATACCTTTGTACCTGAATGGGGAACTCTCGTTGAAGCTCCGATCCCTGGTATTGAACCAGATGTCAAATTTCAATCGAGCAAATAACCGGGAAAGTCGAATTCTCATGGTCCAAGCAGGGCACAGTCCAGTTTGCAGTCGACTCTGCTTTTGCTGATACGCTGAGTAAAATAAGGTTTTGAAGTGGCAGGCCGGTTTCGAATTTGCATCCCACGCCAGATACCTTCAGTTCACAAGAACTCAGAATTCTCCAGCGGCAGGTATAATCTGTGTTCTTTCACTGGTCTACGAAATCAGCGAACGAAGTTGGAGTATACCTGACCTTCGTCACTTCGTTACTTCGCGTAAGTTCGCGGATCTTCGTGACTTTGATGAGAATCTGTGAATGTTCGTCACATTGGCATGTTTTTAGGGAAGTTCGTCACTTAACTCGGCACACCTAGGCACGTTCAAAAACCCGGAAGCACCGGCCATCATTGTTCCTTTAACATAAGGCCGGGCGGGTTTTTTCATGTAGATACCTTACCTAACGCTAACCTTTAACCAGAACCCTAACCACTAACCTCTAACCACCCTAACCACCTAACCCAAACCTCTAACCAGCTAACCGACTAACCCAAACCCCTAACCACCTAACCCAAACCTAACCGGCCATGCTCGGCACAATGCTGATACCCATCACTTCGTGATGCAGAGCAGTTGCCGTGCAACAAACAACTCACGAACTTTCGCAGGAATATGCCAATGTCACGAAGATTCCCAGATTCTCATCAAAGTCACGAAGATCCGTCAACTTACGCGAAGTAACGAAGTGACGAAGGTGAGGTGGACACCGAAGTTGTGTGACCAAACAGCTGTTAAAGCCTGCGGAAGTAGAGCCAGGGCAGTCCGGACCCCGGACACCAAAGGGAACTTGAAGGCTCCGAGCTCGTCAAGATGTCTCCTCGCTATAAACACATTTTCCGCAAAATATTATGTGCTCGGAGTTGGCTCGGAGTTGCACAAACTTGAAACGCGGTTTGTCGGACAGCCGACCAGCCGACGTCAAGACAATTCTCACGGTTCAAATTCAGACAGCCAAAAGTCCCGAACGAACCTTGTGGTATTTCGCTCTATTTTCTTCCTGTCGAATACTCAGTTGTTTAGAGTGAGGGAGGGCGTCTGGTGCAGCCTTTTCCCGGTAGAAAAAGATAGACTTCGAAACATGACCTACGCTGGAGTTGAACCAGGCCTTCCACAGAGCACACCGACAATGCCTAGGGTGCGTGGATGCGAACCACTTCGCTTCAGGTCTTATGAACTACAGGGCGTAGGGTGACTAGACCAGTGAGGGAGAATTTATTTGTAGGGCAGTCGCAGTTGATTCCAGATTGAATTGATGCAAAAACATTGGCAGTTGTGGGTATGTATACATGACCATGAAACAGGGAGCGCCTGTGGTTTACTCGAGGTTTGGGCAGAGTTGCTTGGATATAGATTGGCGAAAAAAAAAAAGAGCTCAGGCATATGACCTAACCTAGAGTCGAACCAGGGACTTCCACAAGACATCCCGCGATCGGTCTCCAGCGACAGCGTGCGTGGATGCGAACCACTGCGCTTTAGGTCTTCCTCTCTAGCGATGAGGTCTTCCAGGATCTGGAAGAAGGAATGCTTCGATAATTGCCGCGCCAGATAATCAAGTCCACTTGAATGTTTTGAGACCACCGAGTTGTTGGGGCTTCGGAAGGAAGGAATAAACCCGGCTGGTCGATGCTAGCCTTTCCCGGGCAGAAAAAAAAAGTGCACCCGGCACCCTGTATGACCTAACCTAGAGTCGAACCAGGGACTTCCACAAACCAGATTCGTGTCCGCTTTCTTTGGCAGGCTGTGTGGATGCGAAACCACTTCGCATCAGGTCTTCCTATCTCGAGCATTGAGATGTTTGAGGAGCTAGAGGAAGCAATGCTTCGATAATTGCCGCACCAGAATTAAATCCACTTGAAAGGTTGCGGTTTCGAGAGCAAAAAACCGGATCCTCGCAACATACGACCTAACCTGGAGTCGAACCAGGGACTTGCACAAAACAGCTTCTTCTCTATTCCATCAGACTGCGTGGACGCGAAACCACTTCGCTTTGGGTCTTCCTTATCTCAAACGATGATCATGAGGGCTCCAAGTAGAAGAAGGAATGCTTCGATAATTGCCGCGCCAGAAAATTGAGTCCACTTGAAAGGCCGAGACCACCGAGTTGTTGGGGCTTTAGAAGGAAGGAATAAACCTGGCTTGTCGATGCTAGCCTTTCCCGGGCAGAGAAAAAAACTCGTTCCTCGCAACATATGACCTAACCTGGAGTCGAACCAGCTGCAGGGCCTTGCACAAAACAGCTTCTTCTCTGTTCTATCAGGCTGCGTGGACACGAAACCACTTCCCTTTAGGTCTTTCCTATCTCAAGCGATGAGGGCTTCAAGTAGAAGACAGAACTTGCCGCGCCAGAAATTAAATCCACTTGAAAGTTCGCAGACCACCGCGTTTGGCCTGGGCGTTGGGCTTCAGATAGCAAGGAACAAATCGTCGCCGGAAAAAAACCAGGTTGTCGATGGTGTCTGGTGCAGCCTTTCCCCGTAGAGAAAAAAACCGACTGGCAACAAACATATGACCTAACCTGGAGTCGAACCAGGGACTTGCACAAAACAGCTTCTTCTCTATTTCATCAGGCTGCGTGGACGCGAAACCATTTCGCTTTAGGTCTTCCCTATCTCAAGCGATGAGGGCTCCAAGTAGAAGAAGGAACTTGCCGCGCCAGAAATCAAATCCACTTGAAAGTTCGCAGACCACCGCGTTTGGCCTGGGCGTTGTGGCGTCAGAATAAATTGCTACCGGAAAGAACCCAGGTTGTCGATGGTGTTTGGTGCAGCCTTCCCCGGTAGAAGAAAAAAGGAGAACGGCGCCCTGTATGACCTAACCTGGAGTCGAACCAGGGACTTGCACAAAACAACTTCTCATGTTTATCAGGCTGCGTGGACGCGAAACCACTTCGCTTTAGGTCTTCCTTTATCTTAAACGATGAGGGCTTGAAGTAGAAGAAGGAACCTGCCACGCCAGAAATCAAATCCACTTGAAAGTTCGGAGACCACCGCGTTTGGCGTTGGCGTTGGGCTTCAGATAGCAAGGAATAATCACCACCGGAAAAAACCCGGGTTGTCGATGTTTTCTGGGGCAGCCTTTCCCCGGTAGAAAAACAAACGAAGATGAGACATTCTATGACCTAACCTGGAGTCGAACCAGTCCCACAGACGCGAGTGAAAGTTTAAGAGAGTGGATAATGGGTGGATGCGGAACCACTTCGCTTTAGGTCTTCCCCATCTCACGCGATGAGGGCTTCAAGGAAGAGGAAATTTATATTGAGGCACATAGCAATCTGCTCGCCAGCTATGAGACCGCCGCCCAGTGTTGCCTGCACACAAAAGTCCAGCACGTCAGTTGTGAGACCGCCGTTGCGTTGAAGCTGTGAATGGAGAGTTTTGCATGAGAAGATGTTGCGGCGGCGTTCCAGAGAACGCCAAAGGACAAAAAGCATTCATTCGCGCGTCGCGATGACCTAACCTGGAGTCGAACCAGGGATTTCCACAGGACATTTAGTTGCCGACGCCAGCGTGCGTGGATGCGAAGCCACTTCGCTTTAGGTCTTTATTAGCTTGTAGTGCGTGGGTGAGTGAGGGAGAAATTATTTGAGGCAGAGCAGTTGATTCCGAGATTGAATCGATGCTAAATGCGAGCCCACCAGTCAAAATTAATGGATCAGAGCCCTAGCGAGAAAACCTTGGCGATGTTTTTTTTTTAGATTTGAATCAGACAGAAATCCCGTAGAGAGAGGTTTCGGCCGACTTGGCGAAGTAAAGAAGCGATGAGAAGCGGCGGGCCGGCTATCTGACTAAGCGAGCGGGCCTCTACATCAGACGGCGACGACGGTGGTGGCAAGACTCCAGAGGCAAGAGGCAACGAGAGGCAACGCAAGGGTGAACGTTGAAGGAGGCAACAAGCAAAGATCGGGATAGCACAGCATCCGCATCCGGAGCCGGAGTTGGGAGAGCGGAGTTTCAATCGCGTATGTCCGAGTCGCAAGGCAATAAAATAGTGCTGACCGTGGTCGTAGAGAATTAGGAAGTAGACCCCGCATGGCCCCCGCCCCCGCCCCACCCTTCCGCGGCTGGATCGAAACTACGGGCGACGCGCTCCTCATCCTCGAAGCCGCGCGCCGTGGCCTCATCCCGCGCATCACCCGCCGTCTCGTCGACCACGAGCGACGCTTGATCGCGAGTGGGAGCGTGTTTGTGTTTGACGAGCAGGAGAGCGGGATCAAACGGTGGACGGACGGGTGTTTTTGGAGCCCGAGTCGGATATTGGGGAATTTTTTGCTTTATCGGGAGACGGAGGGGCGGGGGCGGGGGCATGGGGCGGGGAGTGCGAGCAGAGCTGGAGGTGCGAGTGCGGCAGGGCGGAGGAGTGGAAAGAGTGCGCGGGCGAGGGGCGGGCGGGGTGCGCGGAAGGTGGACGACGAGAACACTGAAGACGCCGAGGACGACGCCGACGAGGGCGAGGAATCCAAGGAACGCGCGCGCGAAAGCCTCAGTCGGCCGCGGAACGACAGCAAGGTGAAGACGTCCAGTGTCGACCGGTACCGCGAACGCACGCTCGTCGGCAGCCTCACCGACGGGAATAAATTCAAGAGCGACGGACTTATGAAGAAGGTTTGTATCCATCCCTGCCTTCATGTGCGTCTCCGCTTATTTATTTCATTTTATTTCCAGACATTCTCCGTCCACATCTCCGGCGTCGCGCAGCACCTCATCTCCTACTACAAGGTCTCCGACGTCGAAGCCGGCCGCCTCCGCGCGCCCTCCTCTCTCCCCGAGCTCGCCTCTTTGGACATCAGCCCCACCCTCCTCCAGCAGGGCAACTTTAGGTGTCCGCCCAAGACCGAGGTATGTTCTTTCTTTGCAGCCCTTTTATCCCCTTCTCTTCGAATCATTTTGGCACGTTCTTGCTCTTGGGCCCTTCGTTTTGGGTATGCGCAGACATATCGGGAGGTTATGGACGCCTTTCTGCAGGATGTGCCTCGTCTTTCACCTCCACTTTCATTTTCTTTCTTTCTTTCTTTCTTCACATCGACCCGCCGTCGTAGTGTGCCTTTTGCGCCGTGGGCATCGCTTTCACTTACCCCGCACTCCCGCAAACAAACACGCCCAGAGTCCTCCCGCACACTCCTCTGCGTTGCGTTTTTGCATCTCCCCCCTTTGTCTGAAAGCTTCTTCTTTCTCCTTTTTCTTTCCGTGGCGTCGGGATTTCTTTTTGGGGGCAGAGAGCTGCGGCCCCTGGAGGCGCGCTGCTCCCCTCCGCCTTCCGCTCCCCGCTGACCACAATCGCATGTCCTTGTCCACCTGGACCCGCGTGGCGTCTACCTTCCTTCCCAATGCCTCGCCAGTGACCCCGAAATTCTTGCGGGACGCCTGCGAGGTCTTTCACACCCCCGCCCCACCGTACCGGACGCCGCGCATTTCGGCGTTTGTTCTGTCCTGCCCGTCCGTGTGCCCTTCGCCCTTCGCCTTTCGTCCCTGCACCGGGACGTTGCGTGAATACCCTCCTCGTCTGTCGGCTAAACGGGCTTCAACGCGTTTTTCTTCTCGTTTTCATGTTCGGTGTGTCGTGTCGCGCGGGGATACGAAATCGCACTCGGAGGCTGTCGATGGTCATACTACAGAGCGCCCACCCGTGTGAAACTGGAGCGGCTCTGAGCCTTTACAGCCCTTGCGGCGTGCCTCTGCAGATGAGTGCATGCGTCGTTCATCTCTTGTGTTTCTTTCGACGTGTCATGCACATTTCGCTCTGGGACATCACTTTGATGCCTTCTCGCAGGAGCGGTGGAGATTTTTCTCCCTCTTCCTTCTCCTGCTGTCATTGCGCTCACTCGCGTTTTTGTGCTGCGTACGACATATCTGACCTGTTGACGACGATATCGTCCTGTCGTCTCCTTACCCTCCTCTTCCCTCCGTTCGCGTCCCGTCGAGCGCGCCTGCATACACGTCGGCCCAGACGCTCCCGACGCTCGTCTCCTTCATTCCCTTGTTTCTGCGTTGTCCCGTCCTCCTCCCTTATCTCCCACCTCCCACCTCCCTCCCTCCCGGTCTCCTTCTCTCCACCCTTAAAACCTGTACTAACCTCCTCCCCTCCCAGGTCGGCATCGACGGCATCCCCCGCTACCGCGGCGAATCCGACGAAGTCCTCGCCGCGCAGGTCGGCGACCCCTCGCTTGACCTGCCCACCATCAACGGGAGTGGCTATGGGCGGGGATACGTGCTGAAGGGCGGGGGCGGGGTTCGACGCGGGGTGGCGCCGGGAGGGGAGTCGCTCGTCAGCGTCGGCGGAGGCGGTGGGAGCGGTAAAGATGTGGGAGGAGTGGGTGGGGGCGCGAAGGATGTGGGAGGCGGTGTGGGCGCAAAGGGTGTGGGAGGAGGTGTGGGCACGAAGGGTGTGGGTAACGGCGTGAAGAAGGACGCACGGCGACTGTCGGGGGCGACACTGAGACGTGAAGCCGAAGCCGATGACGGGGAAGGGGAAGATGGAGAAGGGTCCGAGGATGACGAGGGGGACCGGGACACCGAGGAGGGGGATGAGACGGCGAGCGAGCTTGGCGGTGCGGAGGGTGAGGTGCGGACGTCGACGCTGCGGGAGGGGACGGACACAGACGCGGTCCTCGGTAAGTCGTTTCCCCTTCGTTGGCTTGCCCGCTTACTGACGATGGCGATTTTGGTGCCGCCACCGCAGACTTGAGCGTCAGCGTCAGCGCCTCGCACGCCAAAGCCAATGGGAAGCGGAAGCGGAGTCCCGCCACCGCGCCCGCCCGCTCTCCTCCTCATCCTACTCCTGCTTCTGCTTCTACTTCGGCGTCTACTTCTGCTTCGACTACCCTACCCCAGCTCGCAGCCCCCAATCACACCTCCGCAACACAGACGCCCTCGCAACTGCAGCGCTACAACAAACACTCCATCTACAGCTACAGCTACAGCTTCAACCCCAGCCGCCCGCCGCGCATCCACGACCCGAGCCGGGGCCCGGTGGGCAAGGCGCGGAGCACGCTTGCGGCGGTGGCGACGTGGGGGGTGGGTGCGAATGGGAATGCTAATTCTGCGACGTCGACTGCGACTACTGCGGCCAAATTTACTGCGTTTGGTCCCGCGTCGACGGGTGCTGTGGCCGCGGGCGCCGTGGATTCCGTTACTGGCAGTGGGACAACGACGTACGCTGTCGTTGGCGCGGACTCTATGACCACTTCCGCCGCGGGGGGGCTGCTGGCTCTTGGTGTGGCGACTGCGCATGAGCAGGGGACCAAGAGGAACGCAGAGGAGGCGGAAGTAGGTGCAGCGCCGGCGGCTAAACGCATACGGAGCGAAGACCAGGGCGAAGGTGGTGGTGGGGACGCGTCACCGTTATCGGACCAGCACCCGTTGACGACGTCCCCGCAAGTCCAAACGCACACACCAACGCAAACCCAAATTCGCACCTCATCGACGAGCTCCCCACAAACCCCAGCCCAACCGCAGATCCAACTCCGGCGCCCACTGCCCGCGACGATCCTCGACGCGCAGGGCCGGCCGGTGTATATGCCCGCGTCGGTAAGGCTGGACCATGGCGCGAGGCCGCGGCCCGCGCCTGCGTTTGACGTGTTTGTAAATGACTGGCAAGGAGAGTCGCAGTCGCAAGGACAAGAGCATCCACAGGCGCAGGGACCAGGGCAAGCACGGCAGCGGCAGCAGGAGCAGGAGCAGCCCCGCCCACGTTCCCGCCCCTCCCCGCGCGTAAATCCGCCCCTGACGACGGCGGTGCCGTTGGCGTACGCCGCCCCGTCGAGCTCGAGCTCGTTGGCTGCGGCTGCGGCGGCGTATAGCCAGCAGTTTTCGAGTGCGGCTGCGGCGAGGGCGAAGGCGGAGAGTGGTGGTGGGAGTGGGAGACCGGAGTCGCGGGAGCAGGCGTCGAATACGCACCTGGTAC